AATATACTCACAAAATAGTAGCACTTTATTGAATATAATTCAGTAAATACCTTATTAAATAAATCTTGCGTTTATTACTTTATATGCATGTGCATGTGGATTGTCACTTTCCTGCTAGACAACTAAACTTTTTATAATGGCTTCCCACTTCGCAAGTAGGATTACACGTCTCATGTGGAGCAATTCAAAGGGGCTGAGTTAAAATTCTCTGCATCCGAGTAAAGTATTGCCTGCATTTACTTTCGAATATGCCTGTATTGTTGCTTCTTTGATGGGTCTTCGGGTCATGGTAAGCTAGTTATTCTTTGCTTTCAATGGCCAATATCTTTTCTGCTCTGCTGCACATTTGTAATAAGTCAATGAGGCTAGGATCTCCACAAAATATTTTTGTTAAGAGAAGTCTTTTCACTGACTTTGTTTCTCACTCATGTACCTCAATATCACTACATTTTGCTTTGCTTTTGGAATGTGAAAGGCAAACTCCTACCTACTACTCTAATGCTTTTGGAATGTGAAAGGAATGCTAATTGTTTTTGGTCATAAAATGTAGTCTATGTAGTTAACTTTTTTATGCCTATAAAGTCCATTTGGCTTGTTTGAGAACATATCAAGAAGTTTTCTAATTTTATATTGCGGGTATGATTTAATAAATTCTTGTTTCTGCCTTGCATACCGATTATTTATATCATTTTGATAAACTTTAGCCAGACAGACGCTGTAAACATTTACTGTTTTTCTAGTGGGAAAGTGGTTATCTATTTGAATGTTGTAAAGTTTTGTAGCTTCATCACCAGAGTGCTATCAAACATCTAGCTAATGCTTTTATAGTTGTTTCATCTTCTTTTTCATCTACAGATATGGATGGAAGTCCTAGTTCTTCTTTGTTACCATTACAACGCTGTAAAATATTACACCTGGTTTGTGTTATTTTATACGGCATACAGTTTCACAATTTAATCTCATAGGTTTAATTGATTCTTCTCTCATAAAAAATGTACCAGGTTAGACACGCTCAAGGGATACACAATGTAGAAGGTGAGAAGAACCATAATGCATACTTGTCTCCTGAACTCTTTGATGCCCATCTTACCCCACTAGGGTGGGACCAAGTATGTATTCATTGTCCTCCTAAATTTATGTCTTGATATGGATGAGGAGTCATGATAAAGCTAACATTACGGAATGAGGAAAATCTCTTTGATCTATAACAAGCAACAAAGAAATCACTCGTTTGAACAGTAGAGTTTTTACGTGAGACTTGGCATTCTACGCAAAGTTTTATGGGTAGATGGTTGGTGTGAGTTGAAGCCTATGATTGACATGATACTAGGCATGCTTAATTTTTTTAAAATGTTAGTGTATGAATTGATTTATTTTGAAGTTTTCTTGTTTTCTTGCTTTTTGCAAATTGTCTATAAGGCATTTCAGTTTTGTTTTGTTTTGCAAGGTTTCTTATTTTACAACTGTCTAGGAATAGAGGCTCCCTGCCTCTCTCTTTCTTTCTCTGTCAAATGCTTGCGTGATTTGAATTGGTGTGTATGTGGTTGATGTTATTCTATGCTAAATCAAAACTAATTTTCAAATTTATAGATATAGTTAATTTGTATGATAACTTGCATTTACGATTTGGTTGATGCATGTGCACTAAAAAATATGAATTGAACAATTTAATTATGGTTTTGACACATCATCACATTCCATCATTTAGATTTTATGCAAATTGTTAAGATTTCCATATCTAAACTGGTTACTTTATATTTAGGGGTGTATTATTTCATCTAATCAAACAAGTTTAGTCCATTGCACTTATTGCATTTAATAATAATGATACAAAAGGAAATCAACTGCATATACATCAGAGTTTAAGATTTTTTGCTGAGGTATGTTTTAAGTGCTGTCAAACTGATAATTATGCTAATTAGTGTCCCATTAGGAACTTCTATATAATTGTGGATGAGGACGATAATGAACCATTAATTCTAGTGATCTCCATGAGTTTAATGAGGAGAGGAGTGATTTTGTAGATGTTTAGTTGAGAATGCTTTAAATGTCATATGTTGCATCATAGCTATTTCTTAGATTAAATTTGATTGAATGTGAATTGCAATTTTTCAAAATTATTTCAAACAAGAGGAAAAGCTTCACAAATACAGAATTGATAATGGAAGTTGCATAAATTTCATATCTAAATCTATTATAGTTTGCATTAATTTAAAACATGAGTCGCATTCACAATCTTTTTAAGTAGCAGGAGTGCTAGAGGTGTCAAAATGGGTTAATGGGTCGGGCTCAGGCCCGACTCAAAATTGACCTGAAAAATTCAGTTAATCCTAACCTGACCCGTTGGATAAATGGGTCAAAATAATAGGCCTGAACCCCACTCGCTAGCAAGTTGTATAACCAAAACTGACTTGATAACCCATTTTAATTAAATTTTTTTATAACTTGTCAACTATAGAGCTTAGATAAATTGATAAAAAATAAATAGATTATGCCAACAAACAAAATAATTTAAGGAAAAAATAAAATGGGTCACTTTCGGGTTAAAATCAAATTTGTGGGTTAACCCAAACCTAACCTGTTTAATATATGGGTTGGAATTTCGTGCTGAAACCTAACTCGTTTATTAAATGGGTCAACCTGAGTCCTGGTCGGGTTGACAGGTCGGGTCATTTTTTGCATCCCTAATAAGTGCATAAAACTGTTATTTCTATATCTTAGATATGCTTCGTTCCTATTTTGTTAGGTACTTATATTGATTAAATCTAATGTGATGTGCTATCCATGGTTATTTCTCATGTTATATAAGGTGGACCTTAGCTTTATGATTTAGATGTTACTCAAATTGGAAGGTCTAATAAATCTGCTTTTAAGTTTAATGGGGGGAATGATAGTTTTGAAACCTACAAAATCTAAAAGTAAGCCCAAGTCTCTTAATGAGGTGAAGAGGTTTTTGCATATTCTAAGTAAACATCGTTTAAAAAAGTGAGCAGACATGTGGGTGTGATCTATATTTAGTGGCTGTTGAATTGAATAATGTAGTGTTTGAGATTGTGATTTCGCTTAATAATGCTAATCAAGTGTTAATTGTTTTTTAAATACTTTTCTAATGGACCTCATAATGAATTAATGTCACTATGGCATATACACTATGCTATTGGTTTGTTTTTTGGATCATCATTTGGCTAACCTACTGAATTATAGGATGAATTCATTCAAATATGTTGTGCTTAAGATACATTGATGAATTACTTAAGAAAAAGAAAAAGAAAAAGAAAAAAGAGAAAGCATGAGTTCCTTATATTGTCCTGCTTTGCCTATATATAAGAAAGATGAAAGTTGGCATATGCGTGGATAGTATATCCATCACAAAATCAACATTAAATATATATCTTTTATTCCTCATTTTTTTTTGGGACATTTAGGCCATTTAAGGCAAACTCACACACACAACGCATACACAAAGACTCGAACCCAAGACCTCTTAGTTGAAAGCCTAAGCTCTCAACCAACAGGCTAAGGTGAGCTGTGTTTTATTCCTCATTTAGATAACGAGTTGTATATGCTAAATGACATTGCATTGTGATTTTTTATAAGATTAATTTGAAAAGTTCCTATCATAATTTTAGAATGAGGAATGTGATGAATGAACATTGCTTTCAAGATCAAGATTATATGAGAGTCGTAGGTCATGCATTTTAGATTAACTAATGCAACTAGTACTATTATGAGGATAACGAGTCATGTCTTGCAACATTCGTTTTTTTTTTGTGGAAAATTTCGTTCTCACTTTGATGATTTTTAAATTTGTAACAAGACATGAGGTGATTTTTTTATGCTACTTTGGAGAGTATTTGAGTTTTTCCAAGTTAAGAAGTTATATATAATCCTACAAAATGCTATTTTGGATTCCATCTACGATCTTTGTAAGATTTGTTGGTCATGGTGATGTATTATTTATTGGCTTTGATAAAGTTAAAATGATTGATGATTGGGCAAATCCTTTTAAATTTTACATGATATTCTTAAATTTTGTGGTTTAGTTGATTTTTTTATGGACTACTCATTTAAGGGTTTAATTTTTAGATGACTTTAATTATTAATTATCCAAAGAAAAGGAAATTTAGATGGACTAAATATTCTAATTGTGTTTTTGAAAATTTTATGTGCATAAATGTGAAAGTTAATCGTGCAAAGAGTCTCTTTTATTAATTGGGTGTAGTGGCTCTACGGTCTATTTTTTGATCGGATGAGATATATAAGTTGTGCACATGTTTTGGCATTTGTAGCTAAATTTGCATCTTAAACTATAACAATATTATACTGTTTTTCCAGCTTAACTAATAAATTGATTTACAGTTGATATCATTCTTTTCTAATGAAAGCTGCATGCTCTTTAATTTCCAATATGTGCACGGTATGTATAAATTCTTTTTGGTAATGAACCCTTGCTTAGGTTGTTGATTAATGCACTCATATTTCCACATGATGTTTATATTGGAATTTGCATGGTATGCGAACTTTTTATAAAATTGTTTTTGGGAAAACTCTGAAATTCTGTAATGCTTTACTTCATCAGGTTGACAATTTTCCTTGTTTAGGTTGTTGATTAGCACAGTCAAATTCCTACTTGTAAATAATGATATATTGCGAACATTGGTGTTTATAAATTATTTTTTTGGAACTCATCAGGTTGATAATTTGCGTAGGCATGTCATTGCATGTGGACTTTCTAAGAAGATTGATCTGGTTATCACTTCCCCTTTGTTGAGGTACAATGTTCGCTGTGGTGTACAAATTAACTTCTCTCATTCCTTTTTTGCTGTGCTCCTATTTTGTTTCTGTAATTCACTAGTAGGAACATATGCAAAACCATGCTGTTAAAGTTGATAAATTTCAATAGGGATTATTACCAAAACTTAATTCTGATTTCAAAATTTCAAGCCATTTCTCTGTTGCATTATTCATTTATTTACTATTGCCCCTTAGAAGATAAAGATTGGTGGAGGACTATGTGGTTCGAAAATTTTAGAGTGGCTAAGCGCGGCTTTATTTATTCCAGTTCTTTAGATTTTTTGTTCATAATTATTATGCTGTATTTCATGGTATTGGCGGTTTTTCTGATAGCAGAAACCTGTTCAGATGAATGAGGTAGAATTAGCTTCTAAATTACTCATATTAAGCAATGGTGTTAGCCATATGGAAGTAGCATTTTTATTAATTAGAATTCCAGAAAGAAGAATATCTGTGTTCTAGTGTGTTTTCATGAACCAGTTAATATCAATGGATGCATCTTAATTGCTAACTATGCTACTTGTGACTCTCTTATTCTGCAATTGTTACAGAACCATGCAAACTGCAGTTGGAGTCTTTGGAGGTGAAGCTTTTGTGGATGGAGTGAAAGGGAAACCCTTAATGGTTGAAAATGCAGGCAATAGTGGTCGTCGAGCTATTTCAAGTTTGGATGGTCTGCCTTTTATAGCTGTTGAGGCATGCAGGGAACATTTGGTATGCCTTCATATTTAATGAAATTTTCTTCACCCTTTCTATTCAACGCTCTTTAAATTCATAACTTTGCATAGATGTGATTTGTAGTATCATAAATTTCTTTTATTTTTATCCTTAGCTAACTTTCTAGTAAAATATCTTTATGCATTTACTTGTGCATGTCAAAGTGTCCAGCTTCATGTCTTCACTTTGATGTCCTTTGATTACTATAAGAAGGGATCTTCATTTTTTCTTTTATTTTTTTGATCTACTATCCAGGTTTATTTTCTTTGTTTTGGCTTAAGTATTTATTATTTTGAAAATTGAACATAATTGAATTAGCTGGCCTTATAGCAGTTTAACTGGTTTTGAACTGAGGAATTGTGTGTGTGTTGGGTGGGTGTGGGGCGGTGGTGGGTTGCTGGTGAGAGAGAGAGATATGAGAGTGAGAACTTTGGGTAATAGATAGTTTTTTTAAAGCATTCAAGTCATGATGCAAGACCATCTCAGCCATTGGTTCTTCGTACTTCATCAAGATCATTATGCATGCATAGTTTTTAAAATGTTTTATGTAAATTAGTGCCTTAGGATGTTATGAAGAATTGAAGATTAATGAATCAAAGCATGGTGGACTGTAATCTACTCCCCTCTTTGGCCTTTGGGATATGCTCTCTCTCTCTCTCTCTCTTTCTCCACCCGCGTGCCTAGGGTTGTGTATATTTCTTCCACACGTTTTCTTCACCTTGGATTGTGTTTTCATTATAGTCACATTCTATCAAAGTAAGATCTCAATTCAAGGACTTCATGCATTTGATACCAGAGTTCTCTGTTCAAGGACTTGCCGCTTACCCAGTTTGTTTTTAGAATTACCAGCATAGATACCCATCAGGCCATCACTAAAAGTTTTGAATGTGGATTGTGTCAAGTCCACATCCATCTCAAAGCTTGATGGTGTACTACAGATTGTTGAATCAATAAATGCATTACGAGCATCATCAGTTTCACTTACATGTCCATCATCATCACTAAGTGTTGTTGCCTCATTGTTGGACGCTGGTTGGATCACATCTAGACCAAGACACTTTCAAACTTCACTAAAGAAGACTTTGCAGTCTTTTCCTTACAGTTGGATCACATCTAGCTGGGTGCAATCATACCAGCACTAGTGCATCGGATCCCATCAGAACTCCGCAGTTAAGCTTGCTTGGGCAAGAGTATTACTAGGATGGGTGACCTCCTGGGAAGTCCTCGTGTTGCACCCCTTTAACGAAAAAGGATTCATGTAGCCAACCCCACATAATGGGACAAAGGCTTGATGTTCTTCTTGTTGTTGTTGTAGTCCAATTAGCCTTGTCGAAGTCATTTGAACTCTCATGATTAGAACATGCGTATTCTTCAGTATGGGTTACTTCAGGAATCAGAAAATAGTCTATGGCTTCTAGGTGCATCTTCTCTGTTCCAGCAATTGAGCTAGCAACACAAGTTTATTGCAGCTAAGGGTCTCGGCATATGCCAGCTAGCATATCAGCAGCTACAGATTTTTTCTCATTTCCTGAAATTTCAAAGCTTGAAAGGAAGCATCATTAGCTTCACAGCCATGTCCCAACCACAAAATACGGCTTCATGTTGACACCAAACCAAATAACTAAGCTCTGCCTTTTTCCTGTACAGCTGTTGGCAAATGCCCCTTTGAAGAATCTGAAACAACCATCTAATATTCCCTCTCTTCAGTAATTATTACCGACATATCTCCTTTCCAACTGTAAGCCACTTTTATGAATTCTGTTCTTCCCCTTTCAGTCAATATTCTGTTCTCATTATATGTTTTTATGAAATGCATCAAGGATCAGCTTTAAGCCTATATCCTTTTGCTTTAGCCATGAATGTTCTTACTAGACATTTGTAAGATTTAATTGTTATCAAAATAGGTATCTTAATTCACATTATTCATATTATCATCATGATACTTATAATTGTTACCTTTAAGAGCATTGGGTGGACAAACCATATGCTTTATATAATCAAAAGAGCATGATTACGAGGGTGGTTATTCTAGTTAAAAGGCATGAATATACTAGAATTAGATTGGGTCAAATCCCGACGACTATGCATACTCGTCACCGATATGATACTTATTCTAGGCCAAATCAACTCTATCGATCTCCTACTAGATCTTCTCAAGTCACCCATCAACTCACTTCTTTCGATAGACTTGATGCTATCATGTACAAACACAAGTGTTACTTATCAAACCATCATCATTCTTTTTTCTGCCTCTGTGTACCAATGCTAGTGGGGATGCTGATTAGTTTTTAGCGATTAAACCTGAGTGTGATGATATACTTGAGCTTGAGCCTAATTTTCTGCCTTATGTTGAGACTAAAGTTTTCATTTTTAGCAGAGTTTACAATCCTCTTTCTTGGCCTCTCATCACCGAAAGTGTTCCCTGCGGACCCAGCACCAATTGGATGGGGGATATTTGTATTCTTACGACTTAAAAAAAAAAATGAAGATTATTAGTACATTAAGCATTATCTAATGATAACTTGTTTCTTAAGGACTCAGTTTCTAGGTTTTAAGGTGAATCTAGAGCCAAAGACGGACTTTGCCTGATAGCTGAGCTGATGACACCATGTGCTGAAATTCTTATATCCGTTCACATCTTCGCAGTTTCCCATTGCAATTATTATCCAAGATGTATATGTTCTTGTTCCACCTCCACTACTGCCACCACCATGACCATCTCATTTCAACTCTTCGGATAAGAGTATTTTTCAACCTAGGTGAATTGATGTAGGATTGTCATAGTTATCATTTTCTTTCTATAGAAACCATCTTCTTGTGTCCATAGTTTTTAGACATGTTTGAAATAAGTTTCATGCTTTAAAAACATAATAAGGATATATCATATTTTTTTATGTTTTAATTACACATTTTTAGTATTTATTGATGATCATCTTCTGTTTGAAGTTGCCATAAGATTTTATGCAGCAATTAAAGACTAGTGAATCAAAGTACGAAGGTTTGAAGTCTACTATCCTCTTCCTCATTGAGATGTGTTCCCCCAACCCCCACCTCGGGTTATGTACCCTTTCATTCTCTCTCGTATCCTCCTTAAGTTGTGCTCCCATTCTTCAAATTGAAAACCATCATTAGAATCATTGCACTGCATTCCTTTTTGTATAGGTTCATCTCATATTTTCTTATGATGTTAGAAAATGTTTTGATAGAGTTATATATATTTCATACAAGTGAAAAATGCAATGCTTAATATTCCATTTTTCATGGTTATCTGTGATGGATGAAGGATTTATTCTCTTTGCACTAACTTTTGTGTACTTGATTTCTGCAGGGTGTTCACCCATGTGATAGGAGGAGAACCATAAGGGAATATCAGACACTTTTCCCTGCAGTTGATTTTTCACTGGTAATTGCTATATTCTCTGGATTACATGTGGTAAGGTTTGTGATAATTGTTTATAACCGTGAGATTATCCTCAGATCGAAAGTAATGAAGATACCTTATGGGAACCTAATGTGAGAGAGCCAAATGAAGAGGTTGCAATTAGGGGAATGAAATTCATTAACTGGTAAATTCTTTTCTTAAATTTTAGATTTTAGTAACTTATACTAATCCATGAGCTTTTCCATAAACCAAAAAAAGTATATATTGCTATTGCTTAAACAAATCAACATACATAACATGGCAATTGGCATAAAATATCTTAATTTTTTCTTATACTTGACTGTTAGCTCAGATATGTTTTGCTTATTTAGTTTGATTCAAGTCAACTATAGTCTGAAATAAACTCTTAATTCATATTGCTAATTAACCCCAAGACACCCTTCTCTAATCATTTTAAGATGTTATTATGATATGTGTTGCGGGTGTTTTTTTTAATGCAACTAATATTACGCTTATAGTATGATCAAAATAATTAAAAAAAGAACTAAGAACTTAGAATCATATAAAATCAGTGGGCAATTATAATTTGATTTTTGCAAATTGAATTTCAATTGTTCAAAAAGTTGAAAAAAAAATCAAGAACACTAATAAGCCAATATCAAATAAGAATACATAACAAAAATATCAAAATAGGAAAATCATGCCTTATGCTGATACAAAGAGATGTCTTCCCCTAGAATTAGGTAGCCACACTTGTACCACCTTAAAGGAACACACATCTAATTTGCATATACTATTAAAACTAGAAAGAAAATATTTATTCAAGAAATATTCATAAATGATATGCCTTTGAATATCCATTTATAACATATTCATCCCCGCAGGCTAATATATAGGTTTGTATAGGATCAGCTTAATCTTTATTCAAATTAAAATTCTAATTGATGAAATTAATTCCAACCAAATTTAAAACTTCATGACTCTTATCCAAAATTAGCCGGATGGACTGGAAAACCATAGGAAAAATATGTAGATCCAAGCTGTAAAACTCGCTGGCACACTTTATCCTCCAGGAGCTTTTATGGATTCCAATAGGCCGTGGAAACAGTTCCGCATCGACGGTAACACTATAGTCTCACCTCAGCGGTCGCGCTACATTCTGCATTAACATTAATGATACACTTGCATGATATGGTCAGTGGATCTTGCTACAAAAAAGCCATGCAAATTGTTTTTTTAAGTTTTCAGAGAGCTTTAAGTGAAGGGCTAGGGTCCTGATCAAGTTGTTAATTAGTTTTTCCTACTACTTTTTTTTTTCCATCAAGTCCTATAATTTTAAGCAATTAAAAAATGCCTGAAGCTTGATATAACGTTGGCTGAGTTTACATTACCTAACATTTGACCAAATTTAACAAACGTTCTTTTGACAGAAATCCAAAGCTATCTCAGTTCTTGAATTTATATATCATTGACATGCTAAAGCATTGTAGAGTTGGATTATTTTTAAATATGCAAAAAAGGAAATACTTGGCTCCTACGAATGCACAGGCCCGCTAATCCTTGTGTTTTTTGAGCAGTTAAAGGCTGATATTACAAACTTTGTTAAAAGATTTTTCTTCTTGAACTATTAGTAGCATCAGGATGTCTGATGTGTGCCTCATTTTTTTTTTCAAGGTTATTAACAAGAAGAGAGACAGAAATAGCAGTCATTACACATAGTGGATTTTTGTTCCATACACTGAATAAATTTGGTAAAGATTTCCATCCACTAATCAAAGATGAAATCTGCAAACAGTAAGTTGGAAGAATCCTTTATTTTTTATTTCCTTGTAAATTATACCAAAGTTTATTGTCTTAATACTCTAGTGTGGACTTTCTGTTTTCAAATAGAAAATTGACTTATTAGTAATATGCACAAAAAGATCTATTTGAAGCTAACTGTCAAAACTGCTAGATCAATGATAAGCATCATGAAAATGCCAAGTTGGAATAGAAAACCTTGTAACATGCACGTTGCTAGTTACCGTTTCATCAGCTTATAATAGACACTAATCGCATGATCTTTGACAAGAAAGTTTATAACCAGAAATTCTAGACTTTATTCAAAGGCATTCATATGCGTTTAGATTTCTTTCATTGTTTCAAGGATACCGTTTCATCACTGTCTGTTAACTCATTTATAGTTGAAATGTAAGCTTGGATTTTATTTCATTTCAAATTGTAAGAGCGTTTAGTTATTTATATACTTACTGGCAATGCATGCAAAGGTTTCACTAGTGGCTTTATTTGCATACTTCCTCTGACTTATACTTCATCAAGATGTAGCAACTAGATTTCAGTCGTCCTTGCAAGCCCTCCTTTGCCATTTATGACGTTTTAAGGAAATGAAGAAAGAATAAACGCAGCCGTTTGCATTGTTTATCACACAAGGATCTTAGTGGAAGATACCGGGTTAAATTAGGTAGCATGGTTCATTTCTCTAGTCTTTGTCTGCTGCTTCTCATCATGATTAGTCATGATTGAAATGAATAAGAATTGGATATATGAAATCATAAAAAGTGTTTTGAAATTTCAGTGATAGGAGTTAATAAGCTAGGTGGATTAGATTGAATAGGAGCTTTAAATAAGCCGTTGTTCCACTGTAAACTCTATATGGAAAAAGGCAAAAGTGTGGGAAAAGTGACAGAAGTGTATCATCTTCACAGCAGCTGTAGAAGATCCTTTATCATTGTCCAAAATGGTAAAAAAATTTATTGTTTTGGTGGATTAAATGTCAAAAGTTGAGGTAGATATTGTGGATATTGTGCGTGTAGGATGTCCTTTGTTATTAATATATGAATTTAATTCAATTAACTTATTGCACATGGTTGATAATCAATGTTAGTAAAGAACCATTGAACATATAAACCATCAAAGGGAGATAACTTGATGAAAACATGGGATGGAAGAACAAGAGTTAAATTAAATTGCTCGTACAGATATAATTCCTATTGACTGAAAATATTCAAATCGGCAATGAATTTATTATGGAGTTGTATAAATCACTATAAAAAATGAATAGAGAAAAATGGATAGAATCATGAAGTATGTTATATAGTGCTTAAGAAAATAAAAAATTAGTTAGCAGTGGAGAGAATGCATCAAGATAATGTTATAAAAAATGATAGAATTGGAGATATAATTATAGTTTTGAAGATTATTGTTGATACTAAGATTATTAATATTATAAGTGCTTATGCTCCTCAAGTAGATTTGGATGTGTTCAAAATTAAAATTCTGGAATGACTTAAAAAAATTAATATAAAAGAAATCTCTTGAAGAAAGAGTTCTTATTGGAGGATATTTAAATGGACATGTTAGTTGAGAGATGGAGGATTTTAAAAACATTCATGGTGGCTATAATAGGCTTGGAGCAACTAATGAAGGTGGTAAGACTATATTAAATTTTGCTCTAACTTATGATTTTGTAATTGCTAATATCTTATTTAAGAAAACATACGAGCATCTCATCACTTATAAAAATGGATATAGTAAAACCTTAGATTGATTATTTTCTGATAAGAAAATAGATCGTTTGGATTGCAAAGATTGTAAAGTTATTCCGAGTGAAAGTTTGTGTATCCAACATCGTTTATTACTTATTAGTTTTGAATTTTAAGATGAAGGGAAAGAATATAAAAAATAAAGTAAAGCGTTTTTGTATGATTTAAAGAACACTAAGTAAAATATTTTTAAAAGAACACTAACTAACATATTTTTGAAAGTAATATTCGAGATTTTAAGATTTTGTTTGTGCATGAGGTAACAAATATTATGTGAGAAAAAATAACAAGTAAATTATTAAGAATGTTACAAACGATGTGCTTGAAGTATCAAAAGAAATAGCTCATAATAGTAAAAAAAATTGGCGGTGGAATCAAAATGTGCAATAAAAGATTAAAAATAAAAAACTTTGTTATAAGAACTGATTTAGATGTAAAAACTCTGAAAAATGGAAAAAATATATAAAGAGATCCGTGAGTACAAGAAAGAAATCTGTGAAGCAAAGATTTTTTGCTTTTAATGTTTTATATAATAGATTATATACTAAAGAACACGAAGATATATGATTAAGTTAGCCAAATAAAGAGACAGGAGCAGTAAGGATTTAGTTCAAATGAAATGCATTAAAGATAAAAATTTAAAAGTGTTTTTTTAGAAGAGGATATTCAACAAACGTGAATGAGATATTTTACTAAGCTTTTTAATGAATATTGTGATTAATTTTAGTAACCTTAACATTCTAAATGAAATAAAGATTTTTGTTTTTATCAACGTATTAGTAAAATTGAAGTTAGAGAAACTTTAAAGAAAATGAAATGTGAAAAAATAGTTAGACCTGATGATATTCCAATAAAGGTGTGAAAATGCTTAGAAGATTATGGAATTTCTTGGCTTATTAAACTTTTAATATTATTTTAAAGATTAAAAAGATGTCAAATGAGTGAAGAATGAGTGTTTTGATTCCTATTTTTAAAAATAAAAGTGACGCACAAGATTGTGTGAATTATAGAGGAATTAAGTTGATGTGCCATACTTTAAAAATATTGGAGAGAGTTATGGAGCATAAATTACATTGTGATACTTATGTTTTTCAAAATCAATTTTGATTCATGTCGGGTAGGTCTACTATGAAAGCTATACATTTATTGAGAGGTTTGATGGAGAAGTATAGATAGAATAAGAAGAATCTACATATGATAAAGTTCCAAGAGAAGTGCTATGGAGAGTTCTAGAAACAAAAGGGGTTAATAATTCTTATATTCAAGTCATTAAGGATATATATGCATCAAGGATATGCATGCAAGAGTTGTTACTTGTGTTCAAACATAAGGTGGTTTGACCAATTATTTTCCTATTGTAGTTGGATTAGATCAATGATCAGCCTTAAGCCCATATCTTTTTGCTTTAGTCTTGGATGTTCTTAATAGACATTTGCAAGAGGATATAACATGGTGTATGCTTTTTGCTGATGATATATTTTTTTATATATAAGACTAGAGAGGGAGTTGAAGATAAACTTGAATTATGGAGGTCAACTTTATAGTTTAAAGGTTTTCGTTTGAGTAAATCTAAAATCGAATATATGGAGTGTAATTTTGGTAGTAATAGATCTAGTGGAGGTTTGTAATTTTATGTGATCAAGTTATTAACAAGAGTACAAATTTTAGATATCCTGGGTCTATTGTTCATAGTGATGGTGAAATAGATGGGGATATTATTAGTAGAATTTAAGCTGGTTAGTTGAAGTCGAGAAATGCATCGCCTTGTTGTGTGATAGAAAAGTACCACCTAAACTTAAGGGAAAATTCTATAAGATGGTGGTGAGACCTATAATGTTTTATGGTGTAGAATATTGGCCATTAAAAGAAAAGCATAATATTAAGTTAAGTGGTGCAGAGATGAGGATGCTCAAGTGGATGAGGGGCTTTACTCTTAGAGATAGGATACGAAACAAGCATATACGTGAAAAGGTTGAGTAGCTCCAGTGGTAGATAAGATTAGGGAGAGTATCCTTAGATGGTTTGGTCACATAAAACGGTGGCCTTCTGATAACCCAGTTAGGAGAGTAGATGTATTGGATTTAACCTATATTAAAAAAGTTAGAAGTAGACCTAAAAAACTTGGTTAGAAAATATTAGAAATGCCCTTTCTTTATTAGATTTAAATGAAAATTTAACTTTTAACAGAACACAATGGAGAAAAAAGATTCATGTAGTTGACCCCACATAATGGGATAAAGGTTTGATGATGTTGTCGTTGTATATAACAAGTTGTGATAGATACCTAATAAAACGCTTGATAAGAACGAATGGAGCGCAATTCGTGAAGCTTACTCCATGTTTTCTTTTCTTCTTTATGTTCCAATCTCAATCTCAAAGTAATAAAATTGGCATCCCTATTACTGACTATTTTATATATATTCTTTCACAGCTTTGGCAATTGTGAGCTCCGTTCGATGGTCATAGTTGATAAAAGGTGAGAAACTTAATATTTGAACATGCTATAGTTTCAAATGACTTTGTGATAAAATTCTGTAACAACTTTGCAGCTTGCTTGGTTTTGGAACTGATCGCACCAATTTTCCTGGAAGGATTCCCCGAGGGCTTGATCTTCCCAGTGACATTGCACATGACAAGCACCCGAATGCGACCGGCGACCATTAACCTCTTCTGCAACTCTGTTTCGCCGACGATGTCGACCATTTATTACCTGATATTTTGTTCATCATGCCATTGAAGTAGTTGCTTACAGGCTCATTATAGATGCCCTTATTTTTATGGCTGATTCAAGCCATTATTTTTATCTGTCCTCAACTTCATATTTGCCCAACTTGATGGACATGATTCCTCTTATTTTTTCATCTAACTACTACTTGACCTTGAACAATAGCACAGGGGAGCTATCTTATCTTTATTTCTACATCTCTATGAATTTCGAAGGGATTATTTTGTTGGATTACTTTAGAGTATAAAGTACTTCAAATACAAACATTTTATAAATTTGAGTGTTTTGTTGAAATACAAAATGATGCAAAGTAAAATATAATCAAAGTAATGTGAAGTAGTTTATTCTGAGTGTAAATTAAGCTTTTCCGATTTTGAGCGAAAACTATTGTAGCCGCGACCACATATCGTCACCGGCCGTCATCATTTAAGATTTTACTCTACATTCACTACTTCTAATCAAACAAAAAAAATATTTGCCTGCATTTATTTTACATTCATTCAAACAATTTTAAATTATTCATTTTATATTATGTTCTTTTTTCAACCAACTAAATATAAATAATATTCATTTCTTCAAATCTTTTTATTATGTAGATAGAACATTTTATGTCAATAATTATGCTTAAATTAGCGTTAACTTGATCTGTTTAAATGTTGTTTTAATAGGAGGATTTTCTTAAAAAAAAAAAAAAATACCCATTGGCTCTCTTTGGGGTGTTGAAAGTTAGAGTGTAGTAGCTATGTTGGGCTCGAACTTTTATTCTATCCAGTGAACGTACGCAGAGAAAGGTTCAGTTTTAGGCAAAAAAATGTCTGTACCGAGTTTTTTTTCAGTGTACCGAGTTTTTTCAAAAAAAATTCGGTACAGATATTTTTTTGCCTAAAACCGAACATTCCTCTGCGTACGTTCACTGGATAGAATAAAAGTTCGTTGGGCTCTATTGATCTCTGCTGCTATTGATCTCTGCTGCTCTCTAGAATAATCCGTAGATTAAAATAAATATTCAATCCAACTTAAAGAATTTTGTAACCGCCGAAAAAACGATGTTTATTAAAAAGGAATTATTGTTAAGCTTTGATTCCAAACAGTAAATACTAATTGATTTCGGCGTATTCAAACGGAAACGGAGAAAAAAAGCCTAATCAAAGAGGCCTCAATCCAACTTTTTTTAGATTAAAAAATTACTAAATAATATTCTCTCCAATTGGCACTCTGTGTTCACCATCTTTTCAACAATCTAGTCTTTTTAAGCTTCGAGTTTTTTTTTATTGGTAATATTTAAAGATCTCAACCGTTTTCTTTAAAAAGTTTAAGAGCTGTAGTTAATAAATAATAAAAAAAATCTTTATGCAAATTACATGGGCAATAAGGAAATATATATGCTTTAAAAAAAGCTCCATACCTAAAGTAAGCAAATAATAATTCAACAACAGCTGAAACAATAACATTAAGGTTTTGTTTGAGACGGCTTTCTTATTGCTTCTTAAAGCAGCTTTTTAATATAAAAATTTCATATCTTCCATAAGAAAGATGCTTTAAAAAATAGAAAAAAAGATGTCCCAAATAAAACCTAAGTTTGACTACATGAATCAATTTTCTCTATTGTATCCTATTTAGAGTCAACTTCATAGCTTATTTAAAGGACCCTATAAGGAGAAAAAGAGCGTTGACCATGAAAGAAATTCCTAACAAGCCACTTAAGAGTCGAGACATCCAAAAAAGATGCATGTCAATTTCATTATCCATAGAGCATAAGAAATAAGTATCACTAATACGAGTCTCCGCACGAGAGAAATTATTAGGTGTCCAGAGACCAATAAGAACGCACAACATCATCTTATTGGTGGGTACCCAACTCAATACCCGCACTCAATACCGCTGGGTACCCAGTGCCTGTGAGGACGGTTCTCCCGTCCGCACTCCGCTCCTAATAATTTCTCTCCCTCCATTGGTGGTGAGAATATTAATGTTATAGCCGAGGTGAAAATTGAGTGATTTTGAGGAAGACATTTACACCAAGTAAATTTAAGCTTTATTTGTGATAGCTTTCTTATTATTTTTTAAAGAGATTTTCTAGTATAAAAATTTTTAATTTAGAAAATTTTTGTACTAAAAAATTATTTTAAAAAATAGTAAGAAAACTATCTCAAACGAAGCCTTAGTCCACATAAAATCAGGAATAGCAGAATGTATTGCATTTCTAACACACTATCACACTAGTTAATCCCTATTATGATCAATATATATGAATTTAATATTGTCCAGACAAAGAGGTTTTGCTGTAGATGAAGGCCTAGGGAGGATCCAATTATCATTGCAAACAATAGATCATATTTTAGCATTTACACTAAGGTTTAAAAGAGGGTAGTCATATGCCCCAAAATCTGTATCATGGAGAAATCTAGAAATACAACTCAACTTTGTAATAACATGTTTAGGCATTGATAATGATTTAAGCCAGCATGATGGGCACTCCAGATGGTGTATTTGGTATGTTGGGAGTCTTCTAATAAAAGATAACCACCTATCAAGATATTAAGGCTTCGTTTGGGACGGCTTTCTTATTTCTTCTTAAAGCAGCTTTTTAATACAAAAATTAAAAGTTTTGTACTAAAAACCTACTTTAAGAAGCATTAAAAAAGCTATCCCAAATGAAGTCTAAGGCTTCGTTTGGGACAACTTTAGACCACTGCTTTTTTTTCCTTCTTTCAACTTTCAAGAAAATTTTTTAATTAAAAATAGCTTTACAAAACAGTAAGAAAACCATCCCAAACAAAACTTAAGTTATCAAAATAGAGGAGATTAACAAGTCATAACCAAGGTCCCTCAGAAATGAGAGAGACACTTTTAAGGGAGGTAGATACATTCAATGCCTATAAACTCACATGTTTGGAATTGACCACAACCTTAGCAAAATAGATCTTAGACTTATTGGGTTACTAAATAACCCCACAACACGAGGAAAGGAATTTAAACACTCATTAAGGAAAATAATAGTCAGGTGAGTAGCATTTCCTAATACTAGCAGGTCATCCGTATATGTAAGATGAGTTACAAAAATTTGTCCATATGTAATGAATTGACATTTCATTTTGGAGTAGCTATCCTCAATGAAGTAAGAGAGAGTAATTATAAGCCATTTGAAGACAAATGTAAAAAAGAAATGGAGATAAGAGAATCTTATCATAAGCCATTTGAAGATTGAAAGTAATTATAGAGGCTCCTCATTAGTAATAATAATGGAGAAGAAATAAATGAAACGCAAGCTTCAATAAACTTAACGAACATACAAGCTAAATCTTATCAATCAATCTTTAGATAAGGGAAGTCCTATATACAAAATTAAAAGCTTTATGGAGGTCAATCTAAGCTGGAAAAAAAAAAAAAAAAGCTCAGAGACAAATTTGAATTGAACTCGTACAAAATTTCAAAGCAAGAATTGTTTTATCAAAAATATTCTTATTTTTTTAAAGTGTTATAAAAAGAGATTGATCCATACTTAGAAAGATGAAAATTGGCCCTCGCCTCTCCTGAACAAGGCATTTGCTGCATTGTTTTTTTGTCCTGGTTGATACTGAATCTCAAAATCATATCAAAGTAACTTGAATATCCATCTCTGGTGCTCCCCAGTGACCATCCATTGTTCCAATAAAAACTTCAAGCTCCTCCTCTGATCTATCTTGACTATGAAATGTCTCCCCAGCATATAAAGCTATCATTTTTTAAAGCCAAGACAATCACCGTCAGCTCCCTCGCATACACATATTTGAGCTTTGCCCTGGTTGTGACCACCTGGCTGAAGTATGCAATATGCCTATGGTCTTACATGAGTACTACTCCTAGCCCATAATCTAATGCATCCATCTCCACTACAAAGGGTTTCCTAAAATCAGGAAGTGCTAACACGGATATATTGATCATAATTGTCTTTAACTCCTGGAAGGCTTGAGTCGCTTCCTCTCCTCATTTGAAATTATCCTTTTTTTAATTGCTCTGTTAAAGAACTTGCTATGGTACCATATCCCTTCACAAACTTCTGGTAGTAACCAATGAGCCCTAAGAAGCCCCGCAGCTCCCTCAAGTTCTTAGGAAGAGGCCAATCCACCATAGCCTGAATCTTGCATTGGTCAGCTGGCACCCCCTCTATGGACACCACATGCCCTAAATACTCCACTTGTGATTGCACAAACGTACACTTCTTCTAGTTGGCAAATAGTTGATGCTCCCTCAATGTCTTCATGATAGTCTTCAAGTGCTCCCAGTGTCTGCCTCGATCCTGCTATATATAAAAATGTCACAAAAAATACGATGACAAACCTTCAGAGGTATGGCTGAAACACTGGGTTCATAAGTGACTGGAAAGTGTCAGGGGTGTTGGTGAGGCTGAAAGGTATTACCAGGAACTCATAGTGCCCTTCTTATATCCTAAATGTCATCTTGTGCACGTCTGTTGTCTTAATCCTAATTTGATGGTATCTCGACTTCAAATCAATTTTCGAAAAAATCACAGCTCCAAAAAACTCATCCAAGAGTTTATCTATAACTTGAATTAAAAACTTATATAGCACCATTTCCTTATTTAGAGCCTTATAATGTACGCATAACTTCCAGTTGTCATCCTTCTTTTTCACCAAAAGTATCGGCTAGAGAAGAGCACTACTTCCATCATCTCCCTGATTAGCCTCTTTATCTCATCCTTCTAGATCTAGGGTAACGGTGTGGTCTGACACAGATGGGAGAAGTCCCTTCTTTAAAGTTGATGGCATGCTCATGCTCTCGAGGTGATAGTAACCCGACCAATGGCTAAAATACATCCTGATATTGTTGTAAAATCTGTTGGACCCCTACTGGAATTCTCTTGCTTCCTGGCCCTAGACCACTTCTATGCTTTACAACTCTACCAAAAATCCCTGGCCTGCATCCTAGATTGTCTTCAGCATGGTTTTTAAAAAGACCATGATCTCGCATAAGCTAGCATCCCCTTGAAACACTACCTTTTTCCCATCCACCTATATCTCCATAGTCAAGGACTTATAATTCATCTTCATATCCCCCATATGCTATAGCCACTTCATCCCCAGAATCACATCCTTACTTTCCAAGTCCAAGGGATGGAAATCTTCCACCACCTGAATACCCTGCAAGGTCATCACCATCTCTTTCCTCTCTATCTTGCATGTGCCCATCATCACCCCACATCCTTCCGTCCTTGCTAACTTCAACCTTAATCAATCCACCACTCAATTTGAGATGAAGTTATATGTGGCTCCACTATCCACCAGAACGACCACAGATTGCTCTCCAATTTCCCAACTTACTTTCATTATGTGATTTGCAGTAAATCTCATCAAAGTTCAAGAACACCACTGCCACATCCAAATGCAACTACTTTGTATCCTCCAATGCCTCCTCTAACTCATCCCCGAAGGGCTCAATTCTTGCACCTATGCTCGGGTGTAAATTTCTCATCACACCTGAAGCATAGCCCTTTCGCTTGCTTATCCTGCACTTCTCCTTCTATGAGGCACTTAAAATTGCCTCCAGAAAGAACTCCAGTACTCTTCTCCTTAAGTGCCTCCCTCTGAAATGACACCGTCTGGATCTGCCAAGGTAGTAGAGGTGTTCCAGTAAGCCCCTCCCATAAGGTTGCTCCGGATGTTCTTCTCCCTTTGCTATTTCTTCTTCACCATGTGTGCTAGCTCCATCGTCTCTCTCAGCCCTCTAGACCTCAGTACTTTGAGCTCAGCCCGTATGTCCTCCCTAAGCCCCTTTATGAAATTCCCCTCCACACCTTCCTCGTAGATTCCCCTTAGTCTCCCCAACAGTAGCTCAAACTTCTCCTGATACTCCATAATTGTCCCCTCCTGGTTAGGGCATATAACTGCTCATGGAGGTCTCCTTCCGAATGGTTCAGAAACTTTCCAACAAGTACTCCTTAAATTCTCCCCATGAGTAGATTGAATACCTAGCCTCCCTCCATTATAACTAGGCTAGGGTTTTCCCTTCGAAACATAGACCGGCCACCACGAGTTTTTCCCCTTACGTCGGCCCGTTGATCACAAAATAATGTTCCACCTAGTATACCCAACCCTAAGCATCATCCCCTTCAAAGAACAACATCTTTAGCTTCCTTGATCTCGCATCCATACGCCAATGGTTTCTTCAACCGTTGGTTCCTCCCACCTAGTGGTGGTGTGATTCTCTCCCTTCTTCCCATGGCGTATTTGGACCCCATGGTTCGGACCCACCATTGCTTCTTCTAGTCCGCCTCCCTTCCTGCCTGCGTGGCCTCCAAAAAGGGTTCAGTCCCCCCTCTTCTTGCTGCCCTTTCTTCCGGATAACCTGATGCCCCCCCTCGGAATCCCTTAAGGTGGTCCTTGAGGGAAAACGCTCTCCACTTCATCATCCACTTCCTAATCTATCTTCCCTTTCCAATCAGCCATAGGAGTAGCTTGCGAAGACTTTGATTGAATCTCGATCAATGTTTTCATCATGCCTTCCACGTTTCCAAAATGACTTTCCATAGAGGAAAACCTTCCCTCCATTCCAAAAAATATTTCCTCCATCCTAGAATGTTTCTCCTACATCTCAACCCTAAGTTGTTCCATCTCGCTTTCCAAAGCTTCCATATTCTTCGTAGTCATTCGCAGATTTTGACTTTCAACCCAGGACAACGCTATGATATCAATTTGATACGCCTTGGAGTCAATTTCAATAAACGACAACATAAAATCCACAGATAATAGTAGAAAACAGCAGATTTCGATTAATAACTCAATAAAAAATAAAAAATACAAGCGATCTATAATTCGGGAGGTGGATCGTCTCTTCCAATCAACCTAGATGCCGCTAGGAAGCCCTCACAGAAGAAACTACAACAGAAAACTCAATAAAACATCACCCTTATACAAAATAATAATCCCTATATAAGCCCCTACTCTTCCCTCCAATTTAGCCCTAAAAGATCTCTCTTGTCTTAATTAATTCCCTCCCTCTTTTGAATTCAAATTCCCTTCATTAATTCCTTCCTTAATCCTCCTCCTAACATATGGAATAATTGGTTAACTAAGCCCCACAAGGGGCCAAAATTTCAGCCCCTCCAACCCCTATAGCTGATCCGCCCCATAACTGCTAGGGCAGCTACAGAACGGTCATGCTGGACCGACTGTAAGGCTCAAGTAGAAAAGAAGAACAGAATTTTGGCTTCTTAAATTAAGTTTATTGAAAATTAAAGAACCTAACATAATAGACTGTTTATAGAAAGAAAAGTTGTATGACAAACTTAAATCTAAAACCTAACTAATCCACAAATCTACAAAGCTTAGAGGACATTCTTCTTAATTTAGGACATATTACTGGTTGCCCCACCTTTTAGAATTGGTTTGGAATTTTTTTATCTCAACTTCGTCAGCCACTATTTAAACTCATCCTTTTACTTTCTTCTTTGATCTGATTTGGATTCCCCCTTTGTTTAACTAAAACCAGCCCCTCACAAAAGAGGCGAGACAAAATATGGTGGCTTTCATATTTTGCCCCCATAACTTTGGTTTATTATACAAATTTGGTATCATTCAAGCACAATTTTTTTTATTGCCTTTACAGATTTTCAGTAAGCTGAAGCTTTGGACAAACTCTTCGACATAATGACAATTACTGTCCTTAGCCTAAAGCTTGATGATTAACTTTAGCAAGTTTTTTTTGCAACTACAAACTTAAAAGTGGTCTCCCCTAGTCTTTACACATGCAATCATAAAAATTGAAGCAAAATAAAGCTGGAATATCTTAAGGTTTATGAATTATACTTTCAATGTTGTCAATGATTGATATGGCGTCACAAAATTAGCTTGACCGGGCACGAATCTCGAGGCAAAAGCTAGTTGGAAACTTCAAAAATTAATTCCGGGAACACCCGAACTCCGATTTCAGCGAGCTTATAGTCAAACTGAGCGTCTCGGAAATACGAACCCAACGACACCAAGATCAACCCAATCCGAGCCCAAATGAGTCCGAATCAAGGACCCGAAGCGCTGTTGGATAAAGAAGATCTTTTACAATCAACATTCTCACAAAGTTACAAAGTCTTGCCAATCTGGGTTTGCCCGAAAAAGTCAATAAGTGTCCGTGCGTCTTCAGTGGCAGAATAGCTCCGTCGTGGTCGAGGAGGACTCTCTTTCCTTCTCCTCGCTCTTCTTCTTCTCTCGTCTGTCACCTTGAAGTCTCCTTGGTGTAGAATGATGGCTCTATTTAAGTTTTCTGGATGGCATAAGCCCGTAATAGGCTGAGATCATGGCGAATTGGGAGTGGTTGTTGAATGGACGGCCATTCGAATCTTTGATCATCACCGGTTCGTGGACATTTGACGAGGCCTTCAATTGATGTCGAAATTTGTGAATCTCTAGGCTCGTTGGATTCGTTCTCGTCGAGCCACTCGATCGAGTATAAGCTTATAAAAATCGGAGAGCGTTGGTAACTCAATTCGGTTTGAACCGTCCACCAGCCGCTTCGGGTTCCGTGTGATTCGGTACTCATTTGGGCTCTGGATTGGGTTGATCTGTGTCGTTTGGTTCGTAAATTCGAGACGCTCAGTTTTGACTAATAAGCTCGCTTGAAATCGGAGTTCGGGGTGTCTACTTGGAATTAATTTTGAAGTTTCCAACTAGCTTTTGCGTCGAGATTCAGCCCGTCAAGCCTAATTTTGTGATGCAATCAGTTGCCCCTATTTCGGACCTTGGAAAGCTTCAGGATCCGAAAATATGCTCACGCTACCATATTTAGAGAACTTTTTCCGAGCGCTCTTAGGACTGATCTTTGCGTTGTAGGAGCCCGAACGCTCCAAAAGTGCCTGAAATTGAGTTCAGGAACGTTGAAAAACAGTCTGAGGACCCAAAACGTCGAATTGGACTTTCGGTGACGAAAGAGCGGGCCCAAAATGGATCGGGCGGTCCGACCGCCAGTCGGACCGCCGCCACAAACCGCCGGCGGCAAGGAACCGGCCGCGCCTCTGCGCGCTGCGGCCGGAACCGCGCGCCCCGCGCCATGCTGGCTGCTGCGCTGGCTTGCCTGTGGCCGGCCTGCGATCCTGCGGCTATGTTCGCCGATCACCGAGTCTGGAAGCCTGCCGCATTCCGTTGCGGCCTGGATATGGCTGCATCCGCCTTAGGTGGGTCCAACTTGCCTGAAAAAGTGGCGTTTTTGAATGCTTCTTTTTGTCCAAAAAAAATCCTTAAAAATATCCAGAAAATTCGAAATTTTCTTAGAAAAGATAGGACATTCCGAAAA